GAAAGAGCTCAGCATCTGCTGCTCTTATTCCCTCAAGAGACCAAAGCCAAAAAAGATTTGAGCTGTTCTTACTGCCAGATCTAAATTTCATTCCAAGGGCACTGGATCAGGTCTTTAATCCTTTACTTAACCACAAAGAACTGTGCTGAGGAGTTTAGTTCTTCCAAAACAACTGATAACATCCTGGATGTTGGAAGCAGAGTGCTTGCCTGTGTCAGCCAAATCCTGCGTGTTCTGCTTTTAAGTGCCACAGCAGATGCAAAACTCGTAGGATTCTCACTGATGTTTTCTAGGAAAGGAGAAAATCTCCAACACACACAAGCCCTGCTTAAGAAGTGGCAAAGAGTTAAAGAAACAGTTTAATACTTGCACGGAATTAAACTGCATATACAACATGATGTGTATATGCTTCATTTACTGATTCAGGATCTAAGATTCTTGTATGTTATCACATTTTAACACATATTACAAAATGCCTTTTCACGGTTTTATCAGTTACATCTCATTGATTCTCCCTTCAACCTGATTTCCTGAAGTGCCCTTTTTCACCTCATTTCAATGAACAGAAAATTCTCACACATTGTGAGGCAGCAGATGAGCCCCAGCATTTGGAAAACCTTTTATTATCAGCACTGGGCAAGAAAAATCCAAGCAGCATTGGCTTATTAAGATGTTATTTTTCCAAAAAGAAAAGTGCAAAACCCAGTCAAGATACACCCCTTCCAAATGGCAGGGGTGTACTACGAGAGCCAAAGAACTCTAAATCATAGTGGTAAGGACTGACTTAAGATTTCACCAATTTTGTTTTCTGAGATTTAAATGTTCTCTGACAAGACTTAACCATGCAACTGATTGCTGAGTCCTTAAATATGCTGACATTAGTTCTTACTACATGTATATATACTAAAGCTCATTCATCAAGGGTCTTGGGATAGGCTGAAGGACTCACATGGGCAAAAGATGATCTCTCTGTTACAACTTTAATAGCTGTGGTGGTTTAAGGAAATAGTCTTGTAAATACTGTTTAGGTTATTTATCAGACACCAGAGGATCTTTTTGTTGGATGAGCCATAAAAAGTACGGAATGCTTGCCAAAAAACAGACTGAGGTTACCTAGCCAACAAAGAAGCTTTAAAAACAGAAATCTCTTCTCATATCATGGAAGTGTATGAAGCCAGGAAGCTTTCTCAGTACCACACTTACAAAACGAGGCTTCTATAAAAGTTCATAAAGTCAACAGAATCTGACAGCAAATAGGCCCTTGCCAAGACAGAATTCACTACTGGCTTAAACTGACACTCATTTACTAGGAGACTTGACTAGATAAACAGGGGCAGGTATCCCTCGTTTTCCATATTTGATGTCTCAGATGACCTCTTGAAAGCATATCAGCTACTGGATATCTGGATAACTGCTCTCCAAGCACAAGAGCAGCGTTTCTTAACCACGCTTGCAACTTCTGAGATTTAAACATTCCACGTTAATAATGATGGCAGTTGCCTACTGCAAACCTCAGGGATGCAGAAGTTTGGACAGAATACAAATACTCATCTCCTCCTTTGGGTTGAATAGATAGGAGCTTGGATATAAAGCAAGAAGAAAGTTTCTACTTCTTACAAGCCCAGGAAGAACCAATAATGATCGGGGCACTTGGCTGCCACGTACCTACAGCATTCGATCACAGGTAAGGCAATGCTGAGTCAACACTTTCTGGGTGACCAGATTTATATCCACTACTGTGTACATCTGTCTCTGCCTCCTCACTCCATTCAGACTTGACCTCTTCTACAACCTTTCACAACTCTTTAGACAGAGAAAGATTCCTATTAACCAACCTGGCACATTTTCTGTTCCCTAAAACATCTCTAAAGGAATATTAACATATTACCTGGTTTACCCAATCCTCTAGCAGTTCTAGTGTGCTTGCGAATTGCAATCCAACACTGGAATCACTAACAGTGGGCAGAAGGGAGACCATAGACCACACAACATTTTGCACTATTCATCACACAAGGATTGAGACAGTCAGTGTTCAGAACTAAACTCCTGGTTCTTGCCTGGTTTTTTGCCTTTTAAGTAGCTGATGTTCTTAAGCTGTAATTTCTTTTTCACCTGGATAGAGGAAAGGCACTTCTTCCCCACTGAAAACAACACTTTCCTGTCTCAGTTAAAGTATGCCGTAAAAAGACAAAGCAGCACTAGAATTGGACAAACATACATTAAATTCCCTAAACAAAATATATTTAAATATCTTGAAGTGATTACCCCAAACCTATCCATAAAATAAAACAGATCTATATTGAAAAAACTATCGATTATTCAAACTCCAGGAACTTCTATAAAGCAAAACCAGAAATGTCAGGAGTTGTTACAGTTTATAAACTGCAAGACTGTAGAGATTGAAAGACCCCTGCAATAATCTTAAAGGACATTCAGAATTCTGCCAACACGACATTTTTGCTGCAGAAATCCTGGGTTCATGCTCTTCAAGGTGGATTTCAAGTGCCAGGGAGCAAATAGCACTAACTCAATTGGATAGCGAACTGTTTGCTCTGTCAAAGCTTTTTGCCAAACACATATATATAATTTTTCTTTTCGCTATATGGATAATCAACCCCAGATGGCAATTTACATAGGCAAGAGCATAAAGGAATCCGTGCACTGCTGGTGCTCTCAGCCTCAATCAGAGCGAGCTCGGGCGTTTGAGAATGTCACTGTTTATTTTTAATTGCTGTGTCCCTCCTTTGTGCAGGTTCAAGCGGTCAAAGATGTCGAAGTCCATTAGGAGAACTGGGAGGTGATGCCACTTCATTTGGGGAGAGGGTTCTTCAAATGGAAAAAGCAGCTGGTTTGTAATGTCCCTAAATGCCCAGTGGGCACCAGCTGTCAATCTCAGTTACCATAGGGTCAGGGCAAAAGAAGGTCAGAGAGAGTCATAAACCACAACGTGTTGTGAAATGTGCTTCCTCTGTTACCTTGTAGGCCTGAGAAAGGTTTGACCTCTTATAGGTATCCTAACCCAGCTCCAAACAATGCTAGTGGGGCTAAGTACAACACACACACACTTCCAAAAGCTGCTTCCCTTCCCTGTGCCTGGGTTTCCACACCCATACAACATGGACATGGATATTAACAAGCTGCTAATGGCAAAATGCACAATGCAGAACTCTGCCTGCCTCTATCACCACTCAGAGGTCCAAGCACATCTTCTGTTTCACACAAGGCAGTGCAAGGATGAATTCATTGACAGCAACTGGAAATAACTACAACTTTGAGGGAAGTTGTTAACGCCATAAAAGCCAAGTGGCTTCTCGTTGTCAATGACCCATGTGCCTGCTAACCTGCCTTTTACTTCACTGTTCCCCCGTCGCTTGGGAAGAAGCATCTTTTAAAGCCCCACTTCAAATCTTCCCTACCATCCTTCTAAACATGCAAGTTATTAACTGCACATTTGTCATTTTCCCCTTCACACACATTCTCAAGAAGCAGACTAATTCCTAAACACATTTCTCCAAAACATTCTTGGACTACACATGAAGAGCCGAACAGCCTTTTCCAGATACCATCTAGTTACGCATTCTTTAAGCAAGCAATAATGACTCTGCTCTGTCCCACCCCCTCCTCCAGAGCACAAATCCACAGAACTCTGGCCAATGCTACGCTAAAAGGCAAGCAGTTAATGAGCCACACAAGGCCCCATTGGGCAGGAGCCATCATCACCCAGCTCTCACCAGCCTTGTCCTCCTACCTACTCCTCCCTCCTTGAGCCCATTGCGCAGGCAGGCCCAGGGCAGCAAGCAGGTCACAACAGAAAAGAGAAGGAATGCTGGCAAAGGCAAAGCTTGAGAGGTTGAAACCAGAGCTACAGTCCCAGCAAAGCATTTTCCCTGCAGGAATTAGAAGCATGGCTCCCAGAATGGGCTGCAGGCTGCAAACGAGAGCATGGGCAGTGAGGAACTCCCCTGGGAAAGCAGACATGGGATACACATCACTCAAATCACTTTCACACAAAGGACAATATGATATAAACTAGATGGCCACAGCTCTCACAGGAGAGGATGACAAAAAAATCAGTTATCAGCAAAACAGTTCAGGTGGAATAAAAATGCCTCACCAAGTCCTTCGTTTGCACACTAAGCAGCACATTCACCCAATGAAAGAACACGCTCCTTAGATAACATGACTTGAAGGCAACTCTGACAGTCCCCAGAAGGGTCCCATCCAGCCTTGGTCAGCCAAAAAGCTGCCTCCTCTCAGAATGGCTGTGTCCCCTGGAAGTGCAGCTGCAAAATGCTCTACAGCTCTTGACCCATTTGGGGCAATTAATAAGGGGGGAAAGTCAGAGCAACTCAAATCAGCACCTGTGAAACAGGCCTCAGCTGTTCCAAGCATAAATTCACCTTGTTTGCCTTTAAAGAATGGATAGATTTTTAAGGAAATAAAACAGTAACAACAGTTAAGCAGTCCAAAGGCCATCAACAGGCTCTCCACAAAGCCCAATGGCAGCAAATCGCTGCTGCAGCCCAGCAGAACATGCTGACACCAACTAAAGCCCCAAACAAAGAGAATGTGCATCAAGCATTTCTGTGCCCTCGTGTCATTCCCTTCGCTTCCACATATCCCAGGATGTGTGCAGCCTACCCCGATCCTTCTGTAAGCCTTCCCACTGCAGCATGGCTCAAATGAAAGCAACCTCAGTCAAACCTTGTTCAGTCCTGGGGCACAACCTAGCTTGGAAACATGCCCACCTTGCTTTTTGCATTTGAAAGTCTAACATGCTAATCTAGGTCAGCATTCATTCAACTAAAACTGAGCAGGTAACTTTCCTGGCTGCCTTCTTTAAGAATCTCTGTGTCTCTTCCATTATAAACTGGCTCATAGGAGAGTACAAAGAAATTTTAAATGATTGAACAATTTCAGACTGGAAGAGAACACTCTCTTCTTTGTTGAGCGTCTCTTTCTATCGAGAAAACTGGGGGGAGTGAAAATGAGAGACTCACCTTCAGGGCAGGAATCTCCACATTGTCACCAAGGCTAACAGAGCCAGAAAGAATAGTCCCTGTCATCACTGTGCCTTGACCCTTGATAGAGAAGCAGTGGTCAACTGCCATAAGGAAGTGTCCCGAGGGGTCTCGTGATGGCAGGTAAGCCTGAGACTTCAGGACCTGAAAAAAAGCAGATAAAAGCAGCACCATGCCTGGGTGAAAAGCCATGACAGCCACGGAGCAAGAGGCAGGCAAGCGGATGATTGATGGAGCAAGCTTGCAGTTTTACTGACTTCAGGCATCTCCCAATGAGCTTAGAACGCACCAATGTCAAATTAAGTGTGTGCCACAGAGGAGACTCACACTTAGCAGCAGGAACACTTCGATTTTCTGCCTTACAAAGATTTGGTGCTGCACATTTCGCTTCGTTAGCAAAACTGCAGCGGCAATAAAGTTACTGCCAAACTCAATACAAACACTGCAGCAAAGCAAAAAGAAAATATCCAGTGCATCGTGTGCCCCCCCCTTTTCTTTCCTCTCTCAAAAGTACAATTTTACAGTGCTTTTTGCTACTTCAGCTTCTTGTGAAAATTAACTTGCGTACAGATATCAGTGCTCCATAAAGCCCATCCCTGCCTCCCTCCCAGCCAAACTATTACACTGGGTTCAGTTTTCAAAGTCCACTTCCCCTTCAAGTTTCTGTTAACACTTCTTGGAGGACCAAACCACTGAAACACAGCCGCACCATTTTCTAGAGACATTCTCCAAGTTTAGGATTTCTGCTTTGCTGACAAATGCTGTTTCTTAAAACCTGTCATCATAGACAGCAGAGCTGAATTATGAAAACAGTCATGTACCCAGCAGTGCTTCAGAGGAACTGGTTCACCCCCATCTCAAATCGCTTTTGATCTCTGCTCTAACATCAGCATATAAACTTGGCACTGCCTTGAAATGTCTGCTTTTAAAGTCAGAAACTGCTGGTTAAACCCAGCTTGTAATGGCAGAACAATGGAGAGTCTCTTATCAAGGACAGAAAGGACAGCTTGAAGCTCAATGCCATGGCTCACACCACATTTGCCAGGTCTTCTAATACTAGGTCTCAGTTGACAAACAGCTGCAGTATGGACATTTCCTTCAAAGGTTTTAACATCCCTGTAAACGTACCCAGAATCGGATGAAGGCAGAACTGAGGACCTGCCCTATCTCCACCTCTCTATGCCGTGGGCAGCCTGGTTCTTGCCAGTTCTAGTCTTGCTTTCCATCTTTTGCAGATGTGCAAGGCATGCAGTGAGCAAGGCAAAGTATCACAGAGAAAGACAGTTTCAGCATGAAGGCAGGAAGATGGAGTCTACACCTGCTTCTGCCAGAACTCCCACATGTTGGCATTCTTTAAACAATTAAGCTTTCCACGGGTAATACTGACTGCCCAAACAGAAACCCCAAAGCTTAAGAGAAGTGCCAGGCCCTCACAACTGCAATCAAAATTGGCAGGTGCTATGATCTGGGCACAAACATGTCCCAAAAGGGTTCCTACTTTCCTTAAATTTAACAAATCAAATGAGTAAACTCAGTGGATTAACTCCTTCGTGCCTCAGCTTCCCAATCTAAATAGGGCTTAAAGTCACCTCTACACTTCCTATAGGTCTTTTGGAAGTAAATCAACTGTTTGCCAAATGCTCAAGACCACAGTGATGTGTGCCAAAGAAAAGTCCAGGAGGAAATCAATCATTCTTGAATGCAGAGCAGTATTTGAATGGAAACAGGAGGCCACACAGAATAATGAGCATTCAAACCAGCTACGGGCTACCTGCTCACTAGCTGCGCTCTGGCCATCCTGTGCAATGAATGAGGTAAGGGTTGTTTGGGATAAAGTAGCATGCACTTAAGCACTGGGTCATAATACACACCAAAGGAAGGAGACAGCTCCCAATGTGTAACTTTTTCACTCCCAACTTCACAGCTTTACTGTTCTCTTAACTATGGTACAATTATAAATCACCCCCCAAGGATTTAGCAGAATTTTAAAGCTATTTTCTATTCATTAGGCTTTGCAATCCTTTACAACTTTAAAACCAATTTCACCACACGTGTGATAGCCGTGTCTTAAGAAACAGCTCTTCAAAAGCACTGAAGCCTTTTCGAGCATCAACCTCAACTTCTCAACCTGATTTAGTTGAAGATGTCCCTGCTCACTGCATGCAGTTTGGACTAGATGAGTTTCGCAGGCGCCTCCCAGCCCAAACTATTCTATGGCTCTCCATTCACAGGAAGGACTCCTTAAAAGTATCAGGTTCCTTAAAACTGACATTACTGCATGAGTTTCTCAGCTCTACATACTAATACAGCGCACTTCAAAAGACTGAAAGCAAAGTTCAAGCCTATTTTGTGTTATTATGATGCTCTCGAGCAGGTACCTCGATTAATTCAGAAACACCTAGAGGATTCTCAGACTCTGGAGCTTCTGGTCCACCGGGCTTTGCTGCAACAGCAACAATAGGGCATCCGCAGAACCTGAAAGAGAGAAAGACAAGTGCTGTTTTCAACTGTCATTAAAACAATTGTAAGCTGAGCTGGAGTCATATCCTTCACAACAGGAGCCAAATGCAAGGCGGCACATGATGAGGCTGTAGGCAGACTGCAAGGACAGCAGAAAGGTCAGAATCTGCTGCAATCAACGTTCTCAAAACACACAAGTCTCAAAGGTGCTGAGAAGAGCAGTACTTCAGTAAGCCTCAGTTTAGCTTTTCTCTTACAATGAATTTTACTCAAGTCCTTAATATGCCATCATAAAAAAGCAGGAACTGCCATATCCAACTAAGCTTTGCTTTCTTGTCCTACTGAAACTCTTTTTCTGTACACCAAAACCTATTCCTTTGATTCTTCAATCAAAACATGACCTAACAGCTTCTACACCTCAGCAGCTGCGATCCAGTTTGTGTAACCACCAAATAAATACCATGTCTATGTTGTACCTTCTCACTGCATAACACTAACACTTCCACTTGCGAATCTCCCTGCCCTTCATTCATTATGTACTTCAATTAACTTACCTGAACAGAACTGACAAACACCATCCCAGCCAGAGCCATGTTATAGGCTATAACCTTCCAGCATTCTGCTCTCCCTACTTGGGGCAATCGCATTTCTCACCCCTAGTTAAGGCAGAGCTCTACCACTTCCTTATCTCTGGAGAGAAAGCAACTTGCAATTCACAACAAAGCTGCAAGCCCATAAACTAAAACCCAACAAAACCAAACCAAAATCAAACCAGAACTGGATGTTCTACACCCGTTTTAGCCAATCTGAACTCCAAACAACCCTTTAAACTGAAGAGCTTTGTTACAGGAAACTACTTCTCTTTAAATGTTATTTGTGGATGCAAATCTAGGGCTGCATTCGAGTTTCTGGTAATCTTCCCACTCATCACCTTTGCTGGATAATCATGTTTAGAAGCACATTGGAAGGGAAATGTAACAGAATGTATAACAAAAATACCTGATACACAAGTTCACTGTTAACATTACCAGCAACTTACTTGGTATTTTCCAAGGTCTTCTGCATTTTCTTTGTCATCTTCTCAATGGCACTTTGTCTCTTCCCCTCTGGAAGGAGATCTATTTTGTTCAGAACTACCACCATCTTCTGGCACGCAATCTGCCCAATGACCAAGCACTCTGCTGACTGCGTCTGCATCCCTTTTGTCACATCGATCACCAGCATCATCAGATCAATAATCTGCGCACCTGGAAGAGAAGTCACAGTCACTATTGCGGCAGCATCAAAAGGTTAAGGATCATTTTCTCAAACAGTTTCCATAAGAGCTGTCAGGATGTGAAGAAATACCCAGCAATATAAATACAAGTTGGACTAAGTATGAACATCTGTAAATAAGACCTTGGGAACTTAAGCTGTTACTATCAGATCATAAAAAAATATGGAAGCATATGAGAGTTTACCTATTCCTCCATATCAACACTTTAAGGTTGTTACCACCGTGTTTAAAACTAAAAAATAAGCAAAAAAAGTACCACACACATAGCATTTGCTTCAAAGAAGATGATTTAAGAAGCTAAGCAATATGGTAGAGCCAAGGAACATACAGAACACTGCAGACAACTGGATGCTTGAAGCAATCCCAGTAAGAGCCAAGGACATGGCACATCACATCCAATCCTCAATGACACCCTTGCTTCTTTCAGAGCCCAAGATTTGATGGAAGGGAAGACAAGATGACCAACCCCAGCTGCAGGTTCATCTAAATAAATTGTGATGAAGAAACAATTTAAACCCTGCTATTTATACTATAACAACTGTACTGCCATTCACTCCCAGGTCAGCTCTACATAACTACATAATAAATAACCTCATACATAGGCACATACACATCCAATTCTTCAATCTCTTCAAGATCAAGTCGCTACAATTTCAGGCTGAAATAACCCATCAAGCTCATGGATTATTCGTATTTTGTTTTTCAAACCACTGTTGTCACAATCCCTTAACCCTGTGACTGGAGCAACCTGAGTTTCATGGATTTACCTTAGTTTTCAAGGAAGCTTTCAATGGATTTTAATGAACATCAGGCCTTCCACACATTCAGAATTTCCCTGTCTCACTCCAGGTAACTGGGATTCTCTGAGTACAGGAAGTACAGCACAGATTTCAACATTGAGAAACCTTAAACAGACTAAAACAAAGTTTAAGCCGAACTACCAGGAAATCCCACGTCAAAACCTACATTTGGAAAGAATACAGAAGCCAGAAATCACGCCTCGTTCTGAATTCAAGGACTTTTAATATCTGCCTTCAGCTTTTGATCGGAAGAACAAGAAATCAATACAACTGCTCCTTGTTCCTCCGACCTCTCCAACCTTCCCCCTGCTTTTTGTTTAAGCCTTCCCCATTGCTCCGACACCAGCTACCCTTGTTCGCAATTCCCATGAACTCCAGACAGGAAACGGTTCGGAGGTTGGAGTGCACGGCTGGGAGAGTGGGTGGGAGCTACTATGAATTTATGACCACAAATGACTTTTCAGCCTACCAAAGCTTTCATCTTGCAACAATGAACGTTAAACCCTTTGGAGCACTAGTGGGATAATCACATCTCCAAAGCTCTTTCAGGATTTTCACCAATCATTGCAAATCTCTCTCCAAGATAAACTTCACATCTTTAAAAGACATTCCAATTTTTATTGTTTCAAGAATTTTGCTCATTTACAGCTTGCTTAAGTTGCACCACAAGCACCAGCAGGGCTGTACAAAAGGATCGGGATTACAGAGTCATAGAATAGTTCGGGTTGGAAGGGACCTTCAAGCTCCTCTTACAAAAGTCTACGATCCTATAGGATTTAGACATGCTACAGACCTGAAGGCCAGGAAGCAAGAGGAAGGAACAGCATGAAAACAACTCAAGTGGGACACTTCATCAGATGCACACACTTCTGTGACTATGTAAAGGTGGGGTTTTTAAACACATACAACCTGCATTAAAATCCACCAGACAGTAATTCTCGCTACATAGGCGACACCCTTAAAATGAATGGGAAGAATTAAAACCAAACCATCACGACAAATTGATTATTAATAAACACATCTGTAAAATATGCACCTAGATAACAGAGAGGAGACTGAGATGAGCTCTTAGGCAGAAGCTCTTCCCTGTGAGGGTGCTGAGGCGCTGGCACAGGGTGCCCAGAGAAGCTGTGGCTGCCCCATCCCTGGCAGTGTTCAAGGGCAGGTTGGACACAGGGGCTTGGAGCAAGCTGCTCTAGTGGAAGGGGTCCCTGCCCATGGCAGGGGTTGGTTGGAGCTGGGTGAGCTTTAAGGTCCCTTCCAACTCAGTCTGGGATTCCATGATAAAACAGGAGACAGGATATGGGCCTGCACAGTTAAGAAGAATGATATGGAAGGGATGAGTGTTCCACAAGCCCTAAAAGCAGGCAAATGACTTGAAATAGCTCTGAATGAAGCAGACACATGCAAAGGACAGGTCTGCACATAAAGAAGCACAGCAATCAAAACCATGTTACCTGCATTGAAGCAGGGCATCGAGAACCAATGATAAAGTTTAATTATGGGGACATTATTTGAATACCTACAGAAAAACACATGGGTGTCACCTTCTCCTTGCTGTTTTATCTACAAAAGAGATGTTCAAATTCATTCAGAAAGAGAAAAAATGCTCCTGAACTGTGATTTCTCACTTCACTTGGAAAAAAATAGTGAAAAGATCAACTATCAGAATAGCCTTCATGTGACGACACGCAGCTCAGATACAGCCCTGTCCAAGGCAAATTAAACAAACCAGTTGTCATCAGAAAATAGAAAGGGGTGGGGAAAGATGGGAATTCTATTGCAAGATAAGCAGCTAAACCACAGTGAAAACACAAAGTAAAGTAGATAGCCTGGTGAAGAAAAACAAACAGACAGATAACACATGAGCAGAGAGTATGTGGATACCAGCCAGGTCCACAACAGCAGCGCAAAGAAGAGACTGCAAGAAGCACCAGCTAAACGTGGGGCAGCAGCACAAAAGTACCCTCACATGGAAGAGAAAAAACAAAGTCGAGTCCCTCTTTGAACAGTCACATCCAACCCACTCTTGGGTCTGGATTTTGGGGAGTACCTGATTACAAACAGCCTTTAGGGAAGTAATTGATTACTCTTTCCCATAGGACCAGTTGAAGCAGAGACATCCTTGATTACAACAAGTCCTAAAAGCACAGAAGGCAACACCTCTGTTTCCCTAAACTGGCCATCAGCTCCATCTCTCAAAGAGAAGAGCAAAACAATACCACATAGACCACATCATCCACAGCTCTCATGTTCCTGATGGAGCGTCTCAGCTCCTCTCCAAACACTGGAAACCACAGATGACACAGAAGAACAGTATGCATTGAAAAGGTGGGCCTTGATGAACTTTTGGTCTTTAGGAGAAATTCACTGCATGCTCTGCATTTGTGTTATTTAGCATATTAGATCTTCAAACCTTTAGTCAAACCAGAGTTCCAGGCACCAAGGCTGCAGACCTTCAGCCCCTGCATCAGATTCACTCCCTGGAAACATGCTGCATAGCATCACACAGCTTTGATTTCCACACAGCTCATACAAGCAAAGCACACTGGATTTTGCCCAATGAAGCTTAAGTAGACAAACTTTGCAATGTTTATGTGCTACTGCATCACATCCTTACACACAGGCACACAATTAATAAAACCCATCTGTTACACCAGCGTTCACAGGGTACCACCAGGTGAGAAACCAACCCGTGGACTGCACGTTTAAGAACTGTAAAGCACCGTAATTGCCATGTTTATTGTGTAACAGAATGTTAGGTCTTAAATAACAACTCTCCTCCCACCTCCATCACAGAAGTCATTGCAGTTCTATATGTACGTGAGCTTAAAACACCTCCTGTTTGTGCAACCTGTTGCATGCTTGTAAGTTACACATCTATACGCACCCCCAAGCTCCCAGGCTGAGCTGTGTGCAGCTAGAGCTGCACAGCAAAGCCAACATTTACACTGAGTTAAAGAGGGTATTATTAGGTCTAGAAAACCAAAACATTTCAGCCTCTCATATTACTTCAACAGTTCTAAAAGATTACTACTGTTTTATGTGCACTGTACCCACCTGCAGAGCCATTCAGTTATGAAGTCCATGCACTAACAATCTCGCCCTTACTGAAAAGGAGAACCACAACGCCTTTGCAATGAACAGACAACATCTCAACTGTCTTCTCTTCAAGAAATGTATAGAATCAGACTGGTTTGTGTTGGAAAGGCCCTTAAAGCTCATTCAGTTCCAACCCCTGCCAAGGGCAGGGGCACCTTCCACTAGAGCTCATCTCAATCTCTCCTCTGGCAGGGTAAAGCCATTCCCCTTGCCCTGTTCATACAGGTCCTTGTCCAAAGCCCCTCTCCGGGCTTCTTGTCAAAGAATCACAGAACCATTAGGGCTGGAAGGGACCTTTGGAGATCATCTACTCCAACATGCTGCTACGTAAATGTAGGTCAAGGACATTACAGCGTTTACAAGTACTACTATTTTGGCAAGCACAATTTTAGCTGGGTATTAGAGTAACCAGAATCCATCAACAAAAAGCCAACCGGCTTCCAAACAGTAAAACTGGGCTAGTGAAAGAAAGAACAGAGGTGCGGGTCACATCCCTGGGTGGGCAAGGGGAGGTTTGTGCCACCTCAGGCACAGATTTGACTCACGGCTTCCTTAAGCTACTGTGCCCTGTCCTGCTTCAGGTAATCTTTTCAGCTGACTTTGCACAAACAGTGCAACTCCTGTTCACAGGCACCGAAAGGAAGCAGAAAATGGAATTTGAAATGTAAAAATAAAGTAATTGTGGGCCATGGGCTATAATTTGATTTCACGCTTTACAAGGAAATGAAAGAGGACTTCCTTAAACATACCTTGCCTTTTTTCTTCAATGTGCTTTTTACCATGTTAGGATTTCCTCCAGTGCAGAAGAGAAAATAGGATTGTAGAAAATGCACCGTTCTCAAGTATCATTGCTACTCAGGGGCAAAGCTCGGTTTTAATGTGCACTTCCCATTCTGGGGAAGAGGAAATTCTTCAATTAATAAACCGGGTGGACTGAGGCGAGTTTTTAGGGTTTAATCAATTTCATCTGCAGGCAGCATAAAAAGCCTGACTATTCCAGCACTTCGGCCTCCCCGATCCCCCTTCCACAAAAATAATAAAATCAATGTTTTATCCCAAATTCTTTGAG